AGATGTCTGTGATTTTATATAAATCAAAGTTGCTTGCGATTTTTATACAAATCTGATGCTCCATAGCAAACATAAAATTTGCTATGGAGCGCAATTATGCAAACTATAGTTATAGCATACAAATATGATTTTTATGTTTGCTAAACCTAAAATTTACTCTAATAAATATGATGAATCAAAGGGTTTATTGTAAAATAATTCAAGAAACTTTTAAAAATTGTTGCTGTAAAACTGTTTTTACCTTTTGAAATACTATTATTCTGATTCTTATAACCTTTTATTTTTTGACGGATCTGAAATTGTTGCATATACAGTGGATTAGTGGTTATATATGCAAAGTCAAGACCAAAAAAAAAAAAAAAAAAAAAGAGAGAGAAAGATATTAGTATAAGCAAAGATTGAGAGTTGCAAACCTTATGATGGGCCATGTGTTATTGGAACTTGGCATATTCCAAGCCCAGTTGATTTATTATTCTTTTGGACCTAATTGTCATGAACAACCACGTATCATGTCAATTGTCACATATTTTGCCATGTAAGAGCCTTACATAAAAGTGAAAATTCTAGAGCCATGAAAAATTATTTTGTTTTTGGGAAAAAATCGACATCTTTAACAAAATTTGGTACAAAAATCACTTAAAATATCTTGGAAGATTATAGGCACACGGAATTCTAAAGAGCTAACAAATATCTCGTATTTTCCAGTAGTAAAGTAATTATCTTGAGTGCATGTAAAATCGCGATCAATTTATCAAGTATCGTGCAATGCATTTAGTTGATATGTAAGGTCCAATAGTATCGTTATAAAATGAATGGAAAAAGTATTTTCTACGTAATTAGTTCATAAATCATATTCCCTTTGTCCCTAATTACTTGTCCACTTTTGAATTGACACACCTATTAGAAAAGCAATAATTGACATAGTGAGTTTACTATTTTACACCTATTAATTATGAAGTGATGAATTAAAAAGAAGTTCTACTTTTTTCAAAGTAAATAATTGAGGATATAATAGGTAAAAAAAATTTATCCTTTCTTGATTTGTCAAAATGGACAAGTAATTAGGGACAGAGAGAATATTAATCTCAATTTAGTGCGAAATTTGAATTTTGTCATGCCCAAATAACTATACAAAGAAAAATATCAAATAGAGGGGGTAAAAATATCAATTTAGTAATGAAAGGTCTTTTTTTTGTCATACCTTTAATTATGTGAATTAGATTTACGTATTAGTCATGCACTTCAAATTTGTGTGTTAAAATCTACAAAAAGAAACAGAGCACAAAACGGCCTTTTCTCAATTCAGAGTGCAATTGTGAGAGCATGAAGTACCAACGTGGTGGAGTGCCTTGAAGAATCACGAGCTAATATCAAATATGCACATGTAAGTCACATTAAATCTGGTGATTAATTTGGCCAATTCGTTTGACCTGACCACTACACAGAAGTGCTTACATACAGAGAGCTAAGAATAGGGACACTAGCTAATTGCAATTTGAGGATGGTTTGACTACGCTAATCTTCATCCGTGGACTCCACTGGCTTGTGATAGAGTCAGAATTTTCACTAAAGAGATTTACTCTATTTAAAGAAGTAAAGTACCAAAAAAGATAAGACGATGCCATCTATTATTATATATATACATAGCAAGTAATTTTAATTTTGAATTATGTAGGTACTTTTCCATCTAATGAATTTCGATTGAATCCCTTACTGCCACATAGCTCCAAATCATACTAAAAGAGATGTTTTGACATTATTTTACTTTTGGAAAACAGCACAAGCACTATTAGTTTAATTTAATTAATCTGCACTTAAGATTTTAAAAACAAAGAATTAAAAGATATGGAGTACAAGAAAAGTATATTAATTGTTAATTACTTATTGACAACAGAAAAGTTAGCCATCATGCCAACAAATGACAACAACTTGTGGTTGGTAAACGGTGTGTTTTAGCACTTCCACTCGATCGGTCAAAGTAAAAAAGTGGAACGACATACATATATACAGAGAAGTCCATTTAAGGCAAGTGGATTTCCAAAGATATATACATGATGAGTCACAGTAGACATTAGACGATATAGACTAAAATTCACAAAGGTCATCAAATAAGAACAACAAAAAATATATATATTTTTCCTTCTTTTTTTCTAAGGATGATTTTCGGTAGAAAAAGATTTTTTTTTGTCATCGTTAATACTAATAAGACGCTAGAAGCACTCACCTTTTTATTGATTTGTCTTATTTATATCGAGGGTATTTTTGAAATTCCAAGTTTCTTTGTCCATATGTTTAGTTCATATCAGGATATTTTTGAAATTTTAATATCATGTTTTAAAGATGCTTTACATATATTTTTATGCGTTTGGTCCCAGATCAATAAAACATTACTTTTAGTATGATTTATTGAGCCGCCACGTTAACTCACAAGTTGCACTAGTTAATTTTTATTTTTGTTTTTTTCCTCTATACTGGAACTTTTTGACTCTTGGGAGTCTGCTCTATCTTCTTCTACTTAATTTTTTTTACTCATATCTTTTGTGGTATCAAATTAAGAGAAGAGTATGGTCACCAACTAACTAACCATCGCATACGCTAACGCCCCTCGTTTTCAGAAATAATAAAAAAAAAACAAAACATATAGACCCTTTAATTCATCACACTTGTTACACATGTACATTATTAAGCATGGCAAAACATAAATGTTGGTTAACGAACTTGGAGGCAAATAAGAACCCCTTACTGGAGCATCCATTTGAAATGAATCTATCACATGCACCAGTTTAATTTGTCATTGACTAATATATCCACATCATAATATAAAGTCCTAAACGACCTAGCACTTGATAAGGCCGGAGAGGGGTTTTTTACTCTGTGCGCACTCAAAAAATAGTGATAGTAGGGTTTTTCAATTAAAAAAAAATAATCGATAAGGCTTCTAGTTTGTTCAAAATCCAAGCTTAATTAAGATTAACTCTTGGAGCTACATATCGTTTAGGGTATGAGAGAAAATAATACATGTAATATTAGTTGGCTGTTTATAATTTTAAAATTAAATATTGTTACGTCTCGTACTAAAGTTATTTTGTAAAATCTCATATTAAATCAAGCTATGTTCTATAAATTATTATATCGGAGGGAGTAAAATGTCTTTGTTTAGCGTCTTTGGCTCTCCACATTTTAGGACTATGAAGAATAAGTTTATTTATTTCTCCTCCGCCAAATCAAATTAAATTAACGCCTTGCTTGAAATACAATGTTTGATTCTTCCTAAATACTTTTTCTCTTATACTTAATTAGTAGGTGTTTGACAGTACATCTTTCACTTTAAAATTATGAAATTAGAATTAAATATAAAATTGTGTTTGATCATATTTTTGCGTAGAATAAAAACATTCATATTCCAAAAAAAGAAGTGGTATTTTAACAACGTAGCAGTTGAACTGTATAGGTAATGGACGGAGATGCTGAGGCACACGCACGACGGTTTTTAATTTTGCTTTTGAAAGAGAATACTATTTTTTTATATTTATAAATAATTTAACTTTAATACTTGTTTTATCCTAAAAAAATAAAATTATATAAATATAAATATTTATGATTTTTTTCCTTCACTTCATGCTAAATTATAGTGTACACGTGAATTAAAAATGACGGAATACAACAACAATTTTCTTAAAATTTGACAATGATTTATAATTTAGGACGCTCTAATTATGATATATTTGATTTGAGCACTTTAAACACTAGATAAATTATTCTTATTAGACACTTCTTATTCATAATTTTTAAAATAAATTATTGTGCATGTTTTTAAGTATCCATATAAGTTAATCACATAAGCTATATATCATTCTTTAATTGTACATAATAACATCAATTGAAATAAATATGATTATTTACAACTTATTGAGGACAACTAAAAAAGTGATATATTTTAAGTGATTGATGTATTTACTTAATGAGTGTATGAGAACATGCACAAATTTGTAAGAAGATTTTGAATCGAAAATGTCTAATAGAAATATTTTATCATGTGTTTTGATAATTATTTGAGTGTCTAAATCTATATTACTTTAAAAGCATAAAAATCGTTTAAAATGTTGATTGGACTTTTTGTTTTTTGATTAAAAGAGTTTATAATAGACAAAAATTGACAGATGCTATTTTCCTCAAATCATTATTTAATTATCTTTATATTATCTAAAATCAAGGAATTCTAAAATTATATGACAAGAGGAAAAACAAGGAGTCCTAAAAATACAGTAATAGGAAAATGTATGATAAGAGATATTAAAAAAATTAATAATTAAGAAGTTCTAAAGTGCATCACAAAAGATAGAAAAGCAAAATAGAATCATATCGGGGGAAATTAGGAATTTTCCCATAATAGCATGGCCTAAAATTTGGCATAAACGAAGTCCATATTTTATTTTTTGATTTCTAATAGCATAATTATTCTTTTTAAAGATTTCTGTGATGATCTTCATATAAAATAATATTTATTTTAACATATTTTTATTATAATTTATAAACATAAAATATAGTACTAACAAAATATATACAGAAAAATTGTAGCTTAAAAATTAGAAGTCTCAAAAAGGAGGGTCCACATGCCACTCTCTGACTTTCAGTCTCTCACCTGCAGACGTGCGTAGATGTTTTATTTTATTGGTTCATTTCTTTTGCAAATTAAACAATAATTCATTAATTCATATTATTTTAATATTAAATAAATATATAAAATAATAATTAAATTTAATATTTTGAAATATAATTAATAAATTTAATTCAATAATAGATATCTTTGATTAAATTCTTTTAAAAACATATTAAATCAACATAGATCAAATAATACATATTACCGCTGTTTTGTAGTATGACAAAACAACAATAGGCCATATAAGCTCAGGTTGTGCGGGGGTGGGGGTGGGAGGGGGGGTTTGGCAGATCTATACTTTTTTCTTACGTCTCTCTATTTAAAGCTACAATCCCTCGCTCATGCTTTCTTCACACGCTCCCTTTAATTTCATTTACCACCAAATTTACTTCATTTTCTGCCACGCTTCCATACATCATTATTCTCCCCTGTTACTACTACTTCTTTAGCTCATATAAACTCCAAAAAAAATTACACAACTGAAAACCGTGCGTACGTAGTTTTTCTTCCCATATTGGTGATTGAATTTCTCTGTGGAATCTTCTGCATCGGTGAGTGTGTAGACTGTCAGAGTGCTCTCTGTTTTCATTCCTTTATTATTGCTTGACAAGTCAGTTTTGGAGTAATCAATCATCTTCTTCTATTCATCTTTAACTTCACGCAGAAAGTTGAAACTAAATTTTGTGCTTTTTGATTTAGTTTGCACTCTGTATTATCAATCGATCGACCGACCGGCGGGTGTTTGAGTTTAAGATGGGGAATTGCCAAGCGGCAGAGGCAGCAACAGTAGTGATTCAACATCCAGGTAATAAAATTGAGAGGATTTATTGGTCTATAAGTGCACATGAAGTCATGAGTTCGAATCCTGGCCACTACGTCGCCCTTGTTATCACTTCTCCAACTGAGAGAACACACAATGGTTCGCCCGTCAGGCAGCTTAAGCTTCTCCGCCCCGGCGATACTTTGCTTCTTGGACAAGTTTATCGACTCATCAGCTTCGAAGGTAAAAAAAATAATATCTCAATTTATTTTTCGTTCAATAATTTCTTATCATTAATCTGATCGATCATTTTTTTTTTCAGATGTACTAAAAGAGTTTGCTGCAAAAAAGTGTGTGAAACTTGGCAAGTTACTCAGGGAAAGTGGAGGCCTTGTTCTCGATTCAAAGAAAATCTCCGTCGATTCTTCAGCAGTAAAAAACAAGCCCAAAATGGTGAATGGAATCCCAGCTAAGGTAATTAATTTTTACAACAAATCCTTTTAGGACCATTTTTTATTTAGATGTGTTTTAAATTCTCGGGTCTAAGTTAAGTAAGTCACTTTCACCCTTTTAAATATACCCAACGGCCAACTGAATACAAACTTAAATTACTGTTTGGATTTTTTTTCACTTCTTTTGCATTCATTTTAAAGGCTACTACTGCTATAAGATTCTGTTATTCAAATTTTTGAAGTAAAAAATTGGCTTGCAATTAAGGATTCTTTTGTATTTGATCTATGTAGATTTGATGGTATCTTGATAACTTATAAAGCATCTTTCCCTTCCGAAAAGATGAGTGCATAAAAAAGAAGAAGAAGCTTATAACTTATAAATACTTTCACCTTCTCGTAGTATTGTCCACCTTACTATAAATAGTTATTTCAAATTAATTAATTAAAACTTCCCAATTTCACCCTTACAACTAATATTTTTTAAAAGCCTAAGCAGGCTTATAACTTCCAAAATAAATTATTTTTTACAAGAGTGAATAAAAGATAAATTAGCAAAACTATTCATTTTATGATTTCTTAATGGACATGAAATCAACAAGTGTACGATATATGGGATGGAGGGAGTAAGTAATAAACAGAGACGTCTTTAATACCTCGGATAGTGATATTGGGCCTGCTTTCAAGTGTGTCTATTTTCCATATGATGGCAAGTGAGATTATTATTGCACCTATGAGGCCATGATTATCTGAAGATTTGATAGGAATAAATGACATATTTGGTTGTTAGTATTATTTGTCTTAACTCTTAACTACATTATTTTACATATCCCTGAAATAATTGTCTTTATATATAAACAAGGTAAATAATTTGTTAGGTAACCATCCTAAAAATGGTTCCTTATTTTATTTTCCGCTAGTCAATTATTTTCTGAATATACTATTACATTGAGGTTGTTATTGGTGCACTTTTTAAGGAATATGTATTGATCTATCAATTAGGGCGGATGAACCTTAGCCATCTTTTCTGTACAATAATTAAGCTAGTTAGAAGTTTATAAAATAAAGAGAGACTTTGAATCTTGTGATGTTAAATTTGTCAACGTATAATATTAGTGGGACAACATTAGGGTCGGCAAAGATCAAAAGGATACGGAGAAAGGCTGGCTAGAATTATGTTTGTTTTTTTTCCATTTATTTACTTGCTTGGTTTTGTTAAATGAATAATGGAAACCATGTGCTTTTCCTTGGTTAATTATGGAAAGGTATAGTGGAATCTCTATAAGAAGCCATTAAAATGTGTAATGAGAGTCTCTCTCTTGATCATTATAGCATATGTTTTTAATTCCACTTCCCAATTATCTCTGTCGATCATAAAGGGAATCACATGGGTATTTCCTATTAATTTTGGGAGTTGAAACAGAAATTAAAGAATTAAACAAGAGTTTACCAGAATATCAAGTGGTTGTTAATAATTGTTAATGCTGATTAATTGTTTAGTAGTACAGTATAAGATTTTTTAAAATAGCGAAGAGACACTGAATCTGATTTTTCTCCATCTCCAAGCGTTTTTTTAGTTCCAGAGTCCTAATCAGAAACTGTCGTTAGTCGCGTGAACGAAAGGATTGATTACTTAAAGAGATAATGAAAATTACTGAGTAATATTTTCAAATCCTTTGACTTTGCAAGGTTAAGGAATATTGCGATGAAATTTGTGTGATTAGATCATTTGTTTGATAAAGTAAAAGTAGTAATGGTGCGTCTGACAAAGTCGTGACGAGAGAGATTCTGTTCAAAGCATGATGACTAATCTTTTTTATCCAATTGCTTTTTACTACTATTGGTGTTTCTGCAGCTCAATATTCATGCATCTTTTGTGCACTTTTTTGTTCAGATGGAACATGAAACTTATCAACATGGAAGCAGTAGCAGCAGTGGGCAAAGAAGTATGGGAAGACATCATGGTGGTGGGGGGCAATGGAAACCAGCCTTACAGAGTATTGCAGAGATTGGAACTTGAACTATACCCACCATAAAGCACGTCTATACTTCCCTAGCTACCATGGCTAAACCTTTTCCAAAAGGGATAAGAAAAGATAGCAACTCAATTGTCCCGAGCTACTAGTAATTAGTTTAGAAAAGTACCACTCAATTACTACAATGGAGATGAATATTTGACGGATTCGCTCTGAAGAATTGCATCTACTTAGTAGCTGCTTATTTTCAAGTTTCACGTAATTAAAATAATTACCATACTGGTCTTAGCTTACCTATAATTATCATTTGTTTCCATTCGCAAAAGTTATCAACTAGTTGGGCAACTTCAACAGTAAATTCCTATGCGGTCATTCAAATTTTCAAATTGATTTCATACTGGGTCAAAAATTAATGACCAATTAACTCAATTAGCTACCCATATTTGCTACTATAAACTTAAAATAAGCCCATTTTACTTTTATAACCCAGTTTCATCAGTATACCACATCCTTTTTTCTGGTTTTAGCTAATTAAGTAGTTAGAGGGAATTATATGGATTTTGATTTTAAAATACATAATTTTAGGGGTTATGATAGGATATTCCATTTAAAAGAGATTTATTAACTATGTAACTCATCCTTTTTATGAACCACAACAATTCCCCAACTCCAATATAATATTCAAAATATAGAAACATAAATTGGGTTCTTTATGTCTTAGCATTTGCGCAACACCAACACATAGTTATAACTTGTCTTCTATTCGTTAATACAGAACGAGATGTGATCACAAGCTATAAAAGGAAAAAAAGAAATGACTGCTACTCCCATCCTTCACTTTTACTCATCCTTATTGAATTTTGCTCGTCTCTAAAAAAATAATAATAATTAATATCAAGAAAAACATGAAAATAGTGACAAATGGTATCAAACACACTGCACACGTGCTAACAACCAACTTGACTGATTTGTAATTTTGTAAGTATTAACAAAGCAAAGTGCATCTAGCAAAAAGCCAATAATGTTTACGCTAATAACAGAGAAGTAGTAGATTTGTAATAATACAAAAAAACACATCACTTTTTTCCGAGTTTCGTTTTATTTTTTCATTAATATTTATTGAAATATACCTCAACTTATATCTTAGTACACATACCACACTTGTTTTTTTTTTTAAATTTGAAAATGAGATCTAGAAAATAATCCCACCATGGTAGAATTTAAATATTATTAGGTTAAAAATCAAGGAAGTAATATTTTCGGATAAAAATAAGAAACTGGTTATTGTAAAAATTTATGGGTGTTTCAAATTTTTTTTCATCAAGTTCCATCTTATCATTAACAAAATAAAGGAGAAGGCTGATAAATGAGGAAAAATGGTTGAAAAGAAGGAGGGGCAGAGCAGAGAGCCTAGGGTTTTAAGGGGTCGTTTGGTAGCTAGTTTGGAGGTGAAGAAAAGAACTTGCGAGTTCTAACTTATATTCCTATTTAACATAATATGTATTGATTTACACTCTGGTAAATTTGGAGCTAGTAAGTATTACTTATGAATTATAATGAATCATTTGCGTCTCAATTTAGTATTCTTAATCTGTATGCTCTATGTAGTAGGCCTAATAGAAGGTAAAGTTACAGGAAATAGTATTTTACTTTCCTACTTTGACCATGGATTTAGATAGTAAGCTGCTGAATTGATCCAATAGAGACTTAACTTTTGCTCTTAACATTTGATTCTATTACTGATTTTCCAGCTTTTGTGTGAGAGTACTGAAGTTCTTTGTCTAACTTTCACAAATTAGCTTAACTACAATTTCTTGTTGAGTTTGGATCGAGTATTCTTTTGGCATTATTTCGGGTTCAGTATTTTCGAGGTCAGATAGTTTTATGTCTATCAGTTCCTCTAACTTGATTGTTCATCTTCCTTCTGTTGAATAAATTGGTTGATTTCAAGAAAATGGTGTTAAAAAATATGTTGACCTTTAGACAATATTACATATTCTGTTTTGATTGTTCAATTCATGTTAGAGCAATATTTTGATCTACGCCTCGAACAGCAGTTAAATTCCCCAGTTTTAGAACATGTTATTAAAATGTAAAAGCCTTTTGTACTAGCAATGGTATCATTGCCTAGTACACAAAGACTCGTTCAGAAACTAGTTCAACATTAATTTTCCTGTAGACAACTTATTAGTATCATATTATGATTTGATTTAGCACATGCAGTAGGCAGAGACTAGACAAGAGTTTTTTTCTATCTGTTTGGAAATATTAAGAAATGTGGATACTTAGATGTATTTGCGGGGATGCTTTCATTCTGTTACAGTCAATAACAGTGTGAAATAACAGAGAAAAGAATAGAAGAAACCTTATTTCATGTGCATAAGTCATCAGTCTTGGGATTTGGAAATATAAGGTTTTGCAACCAAATACAAATCATTCTTCCTCCCTACTGTTGCACCAAAAGTCTCTGTCATGTCAAGGTCACTTGCTTCAATTCCATCAGGGAGTTTCCAGTCGAAATGAAATAGTAATTTGGCAAGTGGAAGTTCAACATTCGCAATTCCAAATAATATCCCTGGACATATCCTTCTGCCACCTCCAAATGGTATGTACTCAAGATTAGTCCCAAAGAAATCCAAGTCTGAATCTTGGAATCTTTCTGGTTCAAAGCATTCAGCATTTTTCCAGTGCTCTGGATGTCTACCTATTGCCCATGCATTGATGATGACTTTGGTTTTGGCAGGTATTTCATAGCCACCAATATCACATTTTTCTATAGCTTCTCTTGGTAGTAACAACGGTACTGGTGGATGCATTCGTAGTGTCTCTTTGATAACCAATTTCATATAATCTAACTTTTGAATTTCCGATTCTGTAATTTTACTTTTCCCTTTGAAAACCTGTCTCACCTCAGCTTGTGCTTTTTCCATCACTTGTGGATTCTTCATCATTTCTGAAATAGCCCACTCTAAAACTGTGGATGATGTGTCTGTTCCCCCTATGAACATTTCCTGAATTTGTACGGCCATATGACAAACTTTTAGTTCAAATGAATTGAGGTGATGTTAGTCACTCAGCAGTTATTAGAATTAGGCAAAATGATAAAAAACATTTTCTCTATGCTCTATGATAAGTAGTCAACATCAATATAATAATTTTGACATATCAAGCATTCAATTGTAAAGTAATAGTCCTCATGTATGATTTCCTTCTAGTGAGCAGATATTTTTGTGTGATTTGAGTAGAGACAAACATAATATGATGTTCCAAAAAAAGTTTTTTGAAAACTAAAGCTCTTCTTGTTTTAGAAAAGGGGATTATAAGGTTGAAAGAGCATACCAAAATGACAGATTTGAGAGTGTTTCTTGATAAGGGGATTTCTAAATCACCACTTTCTTGAACCCTAAGTAAAACATCAACCAAATCTTCCTTATACAACATGTCTCTCTTATTTGCCTTGTGCTCTTGTATTATATCCTCAAAGATTTTATCAACATTTTGGTGTACTTTCTCAAGTGCAGACCTCACTCCACTTAATGAGTGGAAAATTTTCAAGGAAGGAAATAAATCTGGTATATCAAAACCTCCTGATAGCTCTGTAATTGTTTTCATAGCTTTAATAAACTCATCTTTGTGTTTGCATTTCTTACCAAAGGCTGCCCTGGCAGTTATGTTATTCATCATCGAGAATATCATTTCACTAATATCAATAGGAACTTGTGGGTGTATCAATGAAATTGCTTCAATAAGATTCTCAACTTCCTCTTCCCTGATTGACTCAAATGATTGAACGCGCTTTGCACTTAAAAGCTCCAAGACACATACTTTTCTAAGCTGTCTCCAATTAGCCCCATAAGGAGAGAATGAAAGGGTGGGGCAGTTGTTGCTTAGAATCTGTACAGAAAGAAGTTGTGGCCTATTAGCAAAGATTAAGTCATGAGTCTTCAGTACCTCTTTTGCCACTTGTGGTGATGATACTATAACAGCAGAAACTTCACCAAGTTGTAGGTGCATCATGGGACCATATTTGTTTGACAAATTCTTGAAAGTATGGTGAGGTAATGAGCTAGATAACTGATGCAAATTCCCAATAAGTGGAAGTTTTCTAGGACCTGGAGGGAGTTTATACTGAATCTTGGATTTTTTCCATAGCTTCAGAGCTATGGCTACAAAGAGAAGGAAGGCAATAAGCATAGGAAAATTGGAGTGTTGAATCTCCATTATCATAGTAGAAGATCTGAAATCTAGAGTATCAGCTAGCCCTTTTTGCTGTAGAGTTGAACTCTGTTTTCTTTATATTCTTTTTTTCTCCAGTGAAAAATCTTATGATTGGACCATTTATCTCTTAATTTATCACAAAAAAATTCATGTACACACATCATTTCTTTATCTGCCTTTCACAAAAAGTGTTGACCAGAACTTGTTAAACATAATTTTTGTTGTCCCTTTTAACAATAAGTATTGCAAATTATTTTACTCCCTCCGTTTAAAAAAGAATGACCTCCTTTTCGTTTTAGCCTGTTTAAAAAAGAATGACTTTTTTTTTTTTTGGTAACATTTTAATTTCAGTTTTCCACATGACATGTTTAAGACCACAAAATTAAAAGACAATTTTGTATATTTGACATAACTTTAATTTAGGACCACAAGATTCAAAAATCTTCTTTATTTACATAAACTCCGTGCTAAGTCAAACCAGGTAATTCTTTGTAAAACGGAGGAAGTAGTTAACAATTGTATATATTTTTATTTGGTTAAATGGCTTACAGAAACAAGAATTGAGGAATCTTTTGTAATGATTAATGCAAAAGAGGACCTTTCAAGTTTCAAATGGCATACTATAGTGCGTATTAAAAAGAAAAAAACTCTCCTAATACATGTAATAGTACAGATCTTGAAAATGAATGTCTCTACATAGCCCAGTGCAACTTAATTATTCGATTAACATTGATTTTGTCAGAATGCAGTCCACCAAGGGCGACGCATGATTAGATATATGACCAAAATGGGGTCTCTTTATACCAATAGCAAAATCTTGGCTTTTTACGTAACTTAATTCCGTTTGGTTATGGATTAAAGCTTTTCTAAAAACAAAGTGATTTTTAATTCATGTACTTACATATTTTTTAAAGAAATATATCAGGCTCACAACAATTCGTTTAATACTCTCCCTCTATCTCTAATTACTTGTTCACTTTTGAATTGACACATCTATTAAGAAAATAATTAATGACATAGTAAGTTTATCATTTTATTCCTATAATTATGAAGTGGATGAAAAATTCTACATTTTTTCAAAATAATTAGTCATTTAATTGATGATATAATAGGTAAAAAATTTTATCCTTTTTTGATTTATCAAAATGAACAAATAATTAGAAATAACTATAAAAGAAAAAGTGAATAAGTTATTAAGGAGAGAAGGAGTATGAACACATAGCCTTATTTTTCTCATTCATTTGATGTTTTAGGATGTTATATATGACTGGCGGCCAAGGTTATTGAACAAATGCACCAGTCAAACCTAATTACTGAGGACCCATACACGTGGTGAGTCGTTAGTTACCGGTACAAATTCTTCTAACTCCACCTACCCCCAACGCCACCCCATTCAGCAGGCAGCTGCCATAGCCCGCCTACTGTATCGGAGTTCGGCGTGCATTTGCTTGCTCAAACCTGAACAACCATGGCTGCTTTGTGTGGCAATAGTATTTGGACTCCTCAAGCTCGAAATTGTTTCCAGCGGGGAATAACTAGTTCTAATTCGTTAAAGTTTTTACCTTTTCAAGTTAATCGTTGTAAGAGATTGTGGAGTAGGTCATTGAAGTGCAGGGTATTGGGGGAAACGGACGATGTGGGTTTTGAAGTGAGTAGTGCCATAAAAGACGATCTATTTGTTGGGTTTTTCAGAGAAGCATGGCCTTATTTTCTTGCACATCGAGGAAGCACGTTTGTTGTTTTAATCTCAGCTGAAATTGTTGATAGCCCTCATTTGGATCATCTTCTCATGGCATGTTCCCATTTTATTGTATTCCTTTCTGTTTTCTTGTTACTTAATTTCATTTTAATTGGCAGAGATGTTGTCTGTTGTCTTTAGATAATCTTTTCTGCTAAATTATTGCAGGATATCTCCCTCCTTCATGGTCTGGGAATCAAATTTGTTCTTGTACCAGGAACTCATGTTCAGATTGACCGGCTTCTGACTGAAAGGGGTGAGTGAAATTCTGATATATTCTATTTTTATGATATTTCTTGTTAATGGACAATGGAAATGTTTTGTTCTCTATTTCAAATACTGATAGCAGGTATTTTTTAATATTACTGTTTGAAATAAATATGTTATTCCTCTTAACAGTTTTAGCATCATTTAGATACCTTTTATATCGGAATTTATGATTTCTAAACTGAAGGTTCTCTTTTGTTGGGAATTTCAGTTTTCATTCTCATTGTCTCAGATTGATTTTCTTTTTCTAAAGATTCTTAATAAAGTAGTGTTGATTAGGAAAAGTGGGGTTAATTATGTATGCACTTCTGTTTCTCCTTAAGGCGATGATATATGCATCATTTATATTTCAGAATAAATAAAAGTTGTAAAGGAACTCTACAGCTTTAATGTTAAACGGCATCTACTTTTATTTTTGACTACTATATCTTCTTTTCTTTCATTTCCAAATACTGATGTTATTTATCTTCTTACAAGATTATTCTAAGATGAAAGTGATTTTGTTACTTCTTTTTAACAGGAAGTGAGGCCAAGTATGTAGGCCGCTACAGAATTACAGACACTGATTCACTCGAGGCAGCTATGGTTACATCTGGAAGAATTCGTCTCATGATAGAGGCGAAGTTGTCACCTGGCCCTTCATTGACTGGTGTCCGCCGACATGGAGATAATAGTCGCTGGCATGATAGTGTTGGTGTTGCCAGTGGTAATTTTCTATCAGCGAAGGTGCAAATTTGTCACCCACTGCCTGTTCATCTGTTCATTTTTGCTTTCTTTCCAAAATCTACATAAAGTGCCATCTACTCGCTTTACTAGATGTATAATCATTTTGGAGGTTTAAGTTTTATCATATATCTTCCATTGTAATGGTGATTTCATTTCAATTTGCTGGCAGAAAAGAGGAGTTGTCGAAGGAATTGATTATGCTTCAACTGGTGAAGTAAAGAAGGTAGATGTTTCTCGAATTCGCGAGAGGCTTGATCAGGATTCCATAGTGCTATTGAGCAATCTTGGTTATTCCAGCTCTGGAGAAGTATTAAACTGCAAGTATGCTATATGACTTTTGATAGGTATTTTTGTTGTGGATTTGCATAAACTGGTGCTGCATCATGTTTACATAATTTGTTACCTGCAAACAATAAATGCAGTCCAGGCAGCTAGATACTAAAGCTTAGTGATATGCTTCCAGCATCAATTTCAATCAAACTCGTATTTGACATGTCTGTGCTACTCTAACTTATCTAAAATCACTTTGTTACTGTTTAGCTGTTTGACAAGTACTCAAGGGATTTTGTGAAACACATTCACTTGTAAGTTTCACACCTTAAAGTTAAATATTAAAATCTCTGAAGATCAACGTACATTTAGATACAATTAAAGAAATCTAGAAAATTCACAAGGAAAGTACATTCTTAACCCTCTGCTCTATGTTTTATTCCTTCTATTTAAGTTAGTAGTCTTTTCCCATCTTTGAATACGTATAGGACAAATAAACTTTCATCTATATGAAGGGTGGCATTGATGGTATTCATTTCATTGAAGATTAACTTATTTGATGACTTCAACATACTACAAAAATACACTTGATAAGAGAAAGAACTTACTACGGTATGCTTGTCTGAAGCCGCATCTGGTCAGTAGTCAGCTTGATGTCGCTTCAACTCATGCATCATTCACTTCTATCCTGTAGAGAGATCAGATGATTCATTATGCCATTGGAGATGGTTTTTAGGTTTATATTGAATGTGTAGATGGCAATTGCTAGTTGATCAGGCTAAATAGTTTTCAGTTTAAAATTTAAACTTTGACACGTGCTCTGTTGTTCATGCAACTGTAGCTTCTCTTACCTTTTTTATTTTGCTTTGAGTTGTTAAGACTGATGATATGATCCGTTCAATTGAAGCACATATGAGGTTGCAACAGCTTGTGCCTTGGCTCTAGGAGCAGAAAAACTAATTTGTATCATAGACGGCCCAATTCTTGATGAGTCTAGCCGTCTCATTCGTTTCTTAACTCTTCAAGATGCTGATATGCTGGTCCGCAGACGAGCTGAGCAAAGTGAGACTGCTGCTAATTATGTAAAAGCTGTTAATCAGGAGGACTTCAATCGTTTAGGTTACCATGGTTCCAATGGATCGCTCCCTTCCCAAAATGGCGATGTTTATGGCCAAAGATACAATCCCACATTTCAGAATGGCATTGGTTTTGACAATGGAAATGGGCTTTGGTCTAGTGAACAAGGTTTTGCAATTGGAGGACAAGAGAAACTAAGCCGATCAAATGGTTACCTCTCAGAATTAGCTGCTGCTGCTTTTGTTTGCCGAGTAAGTTCCTGATAACACTAATCGAATTATCTTTTTACCATGCTTGGTCTTCGTAATGCTAACCTGTTACTGATGAATCTAGAAGATACAAAAGAAGTTTACAGATTATCTTGTAAACTCGCATCTCTTTGTTATTAATTTTCTTTTCTTTTTTTTGGTTTCCCATCCGGTGTCCGGAGCCCACATTGTAGCACCGACTAAATTCGGATCGCGCATTGCAGGGCCCATTCAAGGGTGTCGCTCCCAACAAGATTTTCTCCATAGAACCCAATACCTCTGGTTAAGGCTGATATGTGTGTTTCATGGATAGACAACTCGTTATTTTTACGCTAGTGATTGACTTTGTGCAGAATATTTTAAATATCCACTCTCCTAGTGGTCTTCCATCTTAATTGCTTTAAATGTGGAATTTTTCATTATTAAGAATATTGTCACCTCACTTATTAGCGTGATATCTTTATCTTGTCAAAACTCATTCAAATAATATATTTCTATTTCCATCAGGGAGGTGTTCAAAGAGTGCACCTGCTGGATGGCACTATTGGTGGAGTTTTACTAAAGGAATTGTTCCAAAGAGATGGAGTTGGGACAATGGTTGCTAGGTATGAACATTCTGAAGAATATTAGTTGTGATTACTGTTTCAAGATCTGTTAATTCAATTGCCAAATTTGGATCACTAGTCCTGGACTTGTCAGA